ATGAGGCAGCCTTCTCTGGCTGGGAGCCCTCCAGATGCAGTAAATGATTATTATTTTTCATTGCCTTCGAGCAGAACAATGCGAATTAGGATTGAACACATCTGGGGGATGCTTGAAATCTGAAAAGCTAGAAAATTGGGATGTGTGTGCATGTATTTGTCTTTAGAAAGGATGACTGTTCTGCAGCCTAATCTCTTTCGATAGAGAAGCAAAGGGGGGAGAGAGAGAGATTGAATAAAGGAACAGCTCTAAGAAGATTCCACCAACCCTCTAAAACAAGGGGAGGAAGTGGATTATAAAAGTTTGCAAGGGAATTTTAGTGAGGGAGAATTTTTTTAACCTGACAAAGCAGACGGCTCTGCATTCCCTACAGAGAAGCATGTTGACGTTGTTTATTCCTCTTCGCTGGGAGAAGGTGGGCGGAGAAGGGAGAGTCTCCCATTTGCAATCTGGATCTAAAGCCCTTTGATCAGTTTTCGTCTCTACGCGCAGCTTTCTAGCGCCACCACTAGAGGATGCGGAGAACTACATCTGTTTCCTTCCTTCCTTCATTCCATCCTTCCTTCCTTCCATCTTTCCTTCCTTCCTTCCTCCCTTCCTTCCTTCCTCCCTTCCTTCCTTGATTTATCTGACCATCCATCTTGCAAATGCAATGCTAGATGGAATTTAAAAACAATTTTTCCTCCTTTCCTCCTTTCTTTCTCTCTTTCCTCCTTTCTTTCTCTCTTTCTTTCTTTCTTTCTCTCTCCCTCTTTCTTTCTGTCTTTCTCTCTCTCTCTCTCTTTCTTTCTCTCTCGCTCCCCTTCTCTTTGTCTCTGTCTCTGTGTGTGTCTCTCTCTGTGTGTCTCTCTCTGTGTGTCTCTTCTCTCTCTCTCTCTCTCCCTCCCTCCCTCCCCCTCTCTCTCACACACACGTGGACCAAGCTACAGGAGTGGGGTCCAATGTGTTTATTTGCTTTCCGCTTGCTTACTTAGATGACCCAAGCCACCGTTGCTGCCGAAAGAGCGCTGGAATAGAATAGAATGATCTCCGACTCAAAAGTATTGTCCTGCAAACGCGTCTTGAGTGATGGGGGGGGGTGCGTTGGTGGGGGGAGCGCAGGTCTGTTTCAAGAGCCCAGTTCACAGTGCTGGGAGGGAGGAGACACCCAGGTGATGCAGACTCCCCACCCACACACACACACACTTATTGAAAGGTTGATACCTTACTGGCAACTCAGCCAGTTAGATCTGGGACGCCCGACCCAAAGTGGAAACGGGCCAGAAAAGCTGAAAACGCGTGGGAAGATTTGGTCGTGGGCACACACACACACACACGGGTTATAAAACGGTGGCCCCTCGAAATGGCTCAGGAAGCTGGCTTGGAAAGTCCCCGAGCGTCTTTCAGCGGGAGTGGTTTCTCCAAACCCTCAAAGCCGCGAATCAACTGGTCACCCGCCCTGGGATTCGCGTTACAACGCTTCGGAGTCCCCCGCAGATCGCAGCCAGGCCAACGCGGGGCTCAGTTCCTTGGAGACCGAGTCACCCCCCAGGCCCGGCCCAGAAGGAAACCCCCCTCCCCCCTTTCCCCACCCATCCACCTCCGTCTTCGGGGACCATTGATTCGAAGCCTTCTTGGATAGATCCGGACCAATTTCGGATTTCTGCAATCGAATCGATCGCGTTGAAGACGAAGAATGAAATGGGGAGGGGTTGTCCGCAAGCAATGGTACAGATTTCAGCCTTGAAGGAGGAGGATTTAAACTCTCGAGCCTGGATATTTTGCAATTGACTTGAGTTCTTCTAACCAAGAACCACGAATCGCGAAAATATCCCCGTTATATATTGAGATAAGACATACACGTGTATACGTCATCTGTAACCAAACCTGTGTGATGTGTAAGGTATGAATAATAGGTCTCAGTGGCTAAGACACTGAGCTTGTCGATCAGAAAGGTCGGCAGTTCGGCGGTTCGAATCCCTAGTATAGGTCTCCTGCGTAAACAGGGGGTTGGACTAGATGACCTCTAAGGTTCCTTCCAACTCTGTTACTGTTAAACATCCCCCTTCCATGAGCTTACATACCATGTTCAGCCGTAAATCTTAGGCGAGACCATTAAAAGGCCAGAGCTACCAGTTTCAATCTTGTACATCTGATCAGTAACACAACCATCTCTTTTCTTATAATATTGACGCGCAATGCGATGATTGTGTGTTCTCCTCCTCCACTGATCCCCAGACAGGGCCCATGCAACACACAAGGAGATTAGTTGGGATTAAGGCTTGGGTGACATCTTCACGATCCTACCACCCTCAATTGGTCATGAAGGGTTTAGTAGTCCAGCACACTCGGAGTTGGTGGTGCAGATAATGGGAGTTCCCCAATTGTTGAACTGCAATTCTAGGTCAGCCCTGAAGGAGAACACGAAGATGATAGGAATTGAAGCCCAGGTGCCCTTGACCCCAAAGTAAGCCGTATCCCCTCCTGCCACCCTCTTTGATGGCACTTTTGAATATCCACAGGTGCCTGTCACCCACATTTTTGGGGTGAGCTCTGTGTCTGGATCTGCCTTTGACATGCCGGAAGAAAATGTTAGGATGATAGAACTGTCATTCAACTATCTGACTTTAGTAGATCGGGAGTACCCAACCTTGCCAACTTTAAGACCTGTGGACTTCAACTCCCAGAATTCCCCAAACAGGCATGCTGGCAATGGAGCAGAAACTTGATTGATGGTCAAGCCACTCCGTGGAGATCCTGGTTTGGGTTCATATGTCCCTATGGGTTGGGGTAGGGATGCAGAGGAGAACTCTCCCCAGGATCTAGAATAGAAGATGAAGAGTGGAGTGGAGTGGAGTGGAGAATAGAATTCTTTATTGGGCCAAGTGTGATTGGACACACAAGGAATTTGTCTTGGTGCATAAGCTCTCAGTGTACATAAAAGACAAGACACATTCATCAAGAATCATAAAGGTACAACACTTAATGATAGTCATAGGGAACAAATAAGCAATCAAATCATACTAGGAAACAGTCAATATAAATATCGTAAGGATACAGCAACGAAGTTACAGTCATGCAGTCATAAGTGGGAGGAGATGGGTGATAGGAACGATGAGAAGATTAATGCAGACTTAGTAACTAGTTTGACAGTGTTGAGGAATTATTTGTTTAGCAGAGTGATGGCGTTGGGGAAAAAACTGTTCTTGTGTCTAGTTGTTCTGGTGTGCAGTGCTCTAGCATCGGTTTTGAGGGTGGGAGTTGGAACAGTTTATGTCCAGGATGTGAAGGGTCTGTAGATATTTTCACAGCCCTCTTTTTGACTCTTGTGCAGTAATACAGGTCCTCAATGGAAGGCAGGTTGGTAGCATTTTTTTTTTCTGCAGTTCTAATTATCCTCTGAAGTCTGTATCTGTCTTGCTGGTTGCGGAACCAAACCAGACAGTAATGGAGGTGCAGATGACACTCAATAATTGCTCTGTAGAAACTGAATCAGCAGCTCCTTGGCAGTTGAGCTTCCTCAAAGAGACCCAAAGCTCCAGAAAAGAGCTGGAAAAACTGGGAAGAACTGCATACATGCTCTTCAGCCGAGATCTTTGGGGACCGTTTAAGCTTGTTGGAGGGACCCTCGTCTAAACCTGGTCTAGCGAGTGGGGAGAACACGAGAACACAGCCAATTGGGATTTCTTCATTTTGCTTCACTAGCGGTTTTTTTTTTTTTCATCAGTTGCTGGTTCTTCAGGTCAGATTTGAGCCCCTCACTTCTGTGGAAGAAGGAAGGAAGGAGGAAGGAAGGAAGAAAGGAAGGAAGGGAGGAGGAAGGAAGGAAGGAAGGAAGAAAGATGGGTTGGGTGGGTGGGAGGAGATGAAGAAGAAGGAGAGGAAGGAAGGGAAGGAAAGGAGGAGGAGGGAGGGGGAGGGAGAAGGAAGAAGGAAGGGAAGGGGAAGAAAGGAAGGAGGAAGGAGGGAGGAAAGGAAGGAAGAGTATGAGGAAGGAAAGGAGGGAGGTGAAGAGAAAGGAAAGGAGAGGTAGGAAGGAAAGATAGGGTAGAAGAGGAAGGAGGAAGGAAGATGAGAGAAGAGAGAGGAAGAAAGTAGAAAAGCAAAAAGTTCCAAATACCCCCTGCCTCTAACTGCTGAACCCAGGTAATACTGCCCCGCTACCCGTTTGTTGGAGGCGCATAAATTTGGATTCTGTTCAGGTAGAAACCAACTCCATTCCCACGAGGGTTTCTTGGAGGAGGGAGGGAGGGAGGGAGGGGAAGGAGGGAGAAAAGAAAGGAGGGGAGCTCAATCCCCCACCCACCCAGCCCCGGCGGCAAAGCAAACCAGAGCCCATCCGCGTGGGAGCCAGCTTAGCTCTCTGCCCCTCGCCCTTTTTTTTTTTTTTCCCCTTTCCATTTTCTTTCTCCTCCCGTCCTTAAGCTTGAAATATTCCGGGCAAAAAGATTGGGGATTTTCTCCTGACGTCACGCGGCTCCCCAGCTCCGGCTCGTCTAGCCAACGGTTGGGCAATTTCCCCGCTTGAAGCTTTATCCTCCTGCGCCGGGCCAAAGGACGGGTTGTCCCCTCCCCAATTGCTTGCCAGCAAACTTGCCCCCGCCCTCCACCCTCCCCAAACTCTTTTGCCCCGCGCCGGAGAGTCGCAGGTTGCTTTATTTTTCCTTTTTCTCTCTTTCTATCTCTCTTTCTCCCCATCCCCTCCTTCCAATCTTTCCCCATCTCTATTTCTGCACCTCGGCGATGCTTTCCGGGAAGACCCGTTCGGGATGAGGAGGGCGAGAGAGGGGCAGGGGGGACCCCGGGGGTCGGCTGGGAAGCCTCCTTCCCGCAGATGCCCGCGCTCGCCCGCAGTTGCCACCGATGCGCGGGTGGGGGAGGGGAAACGCAGCAATAATCCGGAGCAGCGAAGTGTAGCGAAGGAGCGTAAATCTCCCCCTTCCCCCCCTCCCCCCATTAAGAGGCTCAGTGGATGGAACAAGAGGTGTGCCGGGTGGACAGGTGGGCAGGAGGAGAAAAGGGGAGACCCGAGGATTTGGGAAAGGGGAGGAAAGGAGAGAAAACCGGGGGGTGGAGGTGGGCAACCCTCCTCCTCGTCCCCTTCCCCCTCCTCCGTCTCACTCCGGGTCCAAACGCGAGGATTTGGTCACCCGCGCGCGCACACGCGCCTCCACCTCGGCCAGCCGCGATGTCTTTCCCCCAGTTTGGCTATTCCTACAGCGCTTCTTCGCAGGTGGAGTCCGGCACTTTGGCGGGGGGGAGGGGGAGGAAGGGAGGAGGGAGGGATGTGTGGGGGGGGGAATCGGACCCCTCCTTGGGTTAGAGGTTCAAGAACCCAGGGTCAGCTTTTATCTTTTTGAGGGGGAAGGTTTTTTTTTTAAAGGTCCATATTTGTTTTTTTTTTCGGATAAGTACTCAGAGCGGATGGCCAGTCTTCTGATCTCCCTCCCTCCCTCCCTCCCTCCCTCCTTCCTCTCACCCCCCCATAACTCCTTCCTTCCTTCCTTCCTTCCTTCCTTCCTTCCTTCCTTCCTTCCTTCCTTCCTTCCTTCCTTCCTTCCCTTCACTCCTCCACTCTCCTTCCCTCCCTCCTTCCTTCTTTACTTATCCTTCCCCTCCTTCCTCCTTCCTTCCTTTCCTTCCTTCCTTCCTTCCTTCCTTCCTTCCTTCCTTCCTTCCTTCCTTCCTTCCTTCCTCTCACCATCAACCCATTTCCCCCCTTCCTTCCTTCCTTCCCTTCCTTTCCTTCCTCCCTCCCTTCCTTCCTTTCTCCCTCCATCCATCTCAGGACCATAGATCAGAGACCGAGGGGGGAGGAAGTGCGCCCCCAGACCCAAATCTTTATCCCACCACGAAATCCCCCTCCTGAGACACCTACCCCCCCTTTTTTTTTTCTCCCCCCCATCCCGGCCCTAACTGGGCCCACCTCCCTTCCCGCCCCCACCGCACCTCCGCTGCTTCTCTTCCTTCCCCACCCCGTTATCCCCTGTCCCTATGGAAGGGGAAGCGGAACTGCCCCATTTGGGGAAGGGGGCTCAGGAAAAGGATAGGCTTGTCGCCCCTCTAAACCCCGTTATTATCCGGGGAGCAAAAACCGCCTCTGCCAAAAACAGATAAGGATCGATCACTTTCTCTCCTTCATCGATTGGGGAAAATCGAAAGTGGAAATTCGCTATTGAATCCAAGCGTCGGAATTTAGAAATCAGAAACCCTTTCGAAGGGGCGAACTTAGAACTCTGGCCGATTTCGCTGGAAAGATGCGCGCAGTTTTGTGACTTTTAGGAACGGGCTTTCCGGCTCGCCCCGGAGTCACTCCCGATTTGAAACCGGAGCCCTTCGGGGATCAGCGGGATCTCTCGCCTCTCTAGATTAACAGGACGTTCCCCAGGAGTCCCGGGGCTTCATTCATTCCGGGGGTCACTGGCCGGAATCCGGGAGCCTGTGAATTTCTTAGGAGAGCGAGATTCCCAACGAATATAATAATCACGCAAACCGGCAAACGTCGCCAAATCTCTTTAAATCCCCAATCTCTGTTTCTCTCCCGCCCCTCCCCCCAGGATTATTTACACACCCGAGTCTACAACGATTTTTCCTCCTTTTGTTTCTTTTTTCTTTTCTTCTTGGTTGATGCTAGTCTTTCCCCCTTCCCCTCCCGCTTTCTAATCCCTTTCTACGTGCGAGGCATCCTTCTAGGACCATATGAAGCAACCTTCCTCTCTCTCCCCCAGCCTACTCTGGCTGAGCCCAGAAGTTCCTCCGCGGAGTAAACCTGCCTATTCCCCCTCCTCCTCCGAGTTTGGCATGGTAATTTTGCGGAGGGGGATGGGTGGAAGGGAGGGAGGGAGGGGTGGCGTCTTTGAAGTTTCTTCTCCCTTCAGCTGGGCAAGATGGCAAGTCCGCCCGCCCGCGCGCTCGCTCGGAGTGCTGAGTAATTTCAGGGCAGCGGGAATTCTTGGAATGGGCACTTGGTTGGTTGACTTCGGGTTTTTCTCTCCCGCCTTCTTTTCCTACTTTTGTTCCCACGCCCTTCGCGGGCTCTCTGGGCCAACTGGATCTCTCTGTGTTGATTCTGAAGGGCGCTTCGCTTGCTGTGTGGTGTGGTGGTGGTGTTTTTTGTGGGGGAGGGTGAGGGTGATATCAGTCTTTGTAATTAATCCCAAATTAACTTACTCCTTCCTTCCTTCCTTCCTTCCTTCCTTCCTTCTCTTCCTTCCTCCCTCCCTCCCTCCCTCCCTCCCTCCCTCCCCTCCCTCCCTCCCTTCTTTTCTCTCTCTCTCTCTCTCTCTCTCTCACACCACACACACACACTTCCCACCCTCCCTCCCTTCCCACCTTCCTTCCCTTCCTTCCTTCCTCCTTCCTTCCTTCCTTCCTTCCTTCCTTCCTTCCTTACCACCTTCCTTCTTTCTTCTCTCTCTCTCTCACACATCTTCCACCACCCCTCCCTCCCACCCTCCTCCTTCCTTCCTCTCTCTCTTTTTCTCTTTCTCCCTCCCACCCTTCTTTCCTCTCTCTTGCTTTCTCTCGCCTTCCTTCTTTTTTTGTTTTCTCCCTCTCCCCCCTCTCTCCTTCCTTTCCATCCATCCATCGATCCATCCATCTATCTATCATCCATTTCCCTCTTTTCCTTTTTCTCCTTCCCTCCCTCCCTCTCTCTCTCTCCCCTTTCTTTTTCTTTTTTTTTCTTTTCTTCCTCTCTTTCTCATGCAGATTTTCGTCTCGGCCACGTCCAGCGCCACTTGTTGTACCTCGGGCTCTCGAACTGCCTCCGACGTTTCCTCGGGGTCTTCCCAGACGGCGACCCTCGGCTGCTCCTCTTACGAGAATCGGCTGCTGGCCGGATCCAGAACGGAGCTCAACGCGGCGCTGGGGATCTACGGCTCGCCTTACGCAGCCGCTGGGGCCAACCCGGGTTACGCCAACTACCTGCCTTACAACGCCGACCCCTCCAGTTTCTACACCGCGCTGGTGAGTGACCTTCGCGCTGCCAAAGAATCGCTAGAAGAAGAAAGGCGCTAGTCCCTGATGCCCAGGGAGGCGTCCAGTCATGTCAGATCCTTTCAATCCAAGAGGTTAGAAATGTTCAATTCCCACCAGAGGCCAAATGGGTGGCTCAGTGGCGATCAGAAAGGTCGGCGGTTCGAATCCCTAGTACAGGTCTCCTGCGTGAGCAGGGGGTTGGACTAGATGACCTCGAAGGTCCCTTCCAACTCTGTTACTGTTACTGAGTCTGTTTTAGTTCCACCGCGTTGATGTCTCGGGAGATTCAGGGCTGCGCTCTCTAGTGAAAACGACTCTGCTCAGAGGCCAGATATTATTTATGGGGAACGAAGACTCCGGATGGTGGCTATTAAGAGAATAAGTTTCATTGAAATCCGGAGGACTTCCTACAGAACGAGGCTGTTCTTTGGTAGCCATTAATTCAGAAGTCACTTTCTCCCAACCCCCTTTGGTAGGAGGTGGGAGGGGGGGGTCCAAGGTGGACTTGCCTTAGTGGGGAGAGAGAGATGGACTTTCTGAACCCCAGGAGAACCTTCTGGCAAATAAATAGGGTGTCAGCTTTGGAAGCCATATTAGGCCGGAAGCTTCCATGCTGCCACCTTCTCATGTGTGGGAAAGTAGGAGGGGGATTTAGTAGAGGGGTTGTCTGTAGACATAATAGCATTCTTCCTGTCAGTCAAGGTCAGGCCGATCCTGCATCTGGAGAAGGAGTGAGTCGAGTGCTGTCTTGAGATGGGACGGATGTTGATTGGAGCATGTGATCGACTGAGAGTGAGGGGATGGTTTTGGGGGTTTGGGTTTACTGAGGGAAAACCTGGACCTCTCAGATTCTGGTTTTCCCAGATGTCCAGTTTACTTATTCTAGTAAATAGAACTTTGAAAAATGCTTGCTTCAGAGTCTTTACTGGAGTTGGGGGGTTTCCTGGAACGCTGACATAGGGATCAGGTCCATTTACGTTACGTTAGGTGCTTCAGTCTCACCCCCCCACATTTATCTTCAGGGAAATTACTGAATGTTTTGGTTTGAGCTCCGAGCTTACTAACCGGAGCTACTAATATTCAAAGACAATTTCAAACCTATTGAATCCTGAAGAAAAAAAGACAGCAAAGAATGGAAGATGATATGACAGATGTTTAGGGAAGTTAGGGTGACCTATCAGTTTTGTTAATAACTTTGGATTGTAAGTGACTTGGAGGCAGGGCCTACCCTTCTCCTTCTCCTTCTCCTTCTCCTTCTCCTTCTCCTTCTCCTCCTCCTCCTCCTCTCCTCCTCCGCCTCCTCCTCCTCTCCTCCTCCCCTCCTCTTCTTCTCCTTCTCCTTCTCCTCTCCTCCTCCTTCTCCTTCTCCTCCTCCTCCTCCTCCTCCCCTCCTCCTCCTCTTCTCTCTTCTCCTCCCTTCTCCTCCTCCTCCTCCTCCTCCTCCTCTTCTTCTTCTCCTCCTCCTCCTCCTCCTCCTCCTCCTCTTCTCCTTCTCCTTCTCCTCCTCCTTCCCCTCCTTCTCTTCTCCTCCCTCCTCCTCCTCCTCCTCCTCCTCCTCCTCTTCTTCTTCTCCTCCTCCTTCTCCTCCTCCTTCTCCTCCTCCTCCTCCTCCTCCTCCTCCTCCTCCTTTCCTCCTCCTCCTCTTCTTCTTCTCCTCTCCTTCTCCTTCTCCTCCTCCTTCCTCCTCCTCCTCCTCCTCCTCCTCCTCTTCTTCTTCTCCTTCTCCTTCTCCTTCTCCTTCTCTCCTCCTCCTCCTCCTCCTCCTCCTCCTTCCTCCTCCTCCTCCTCCCTCTTCTTCTTCTCCTCCTCCTTCTCCTTCTCCTTCCTCCTCCTCCTCCTCCTCCTCCTCCTCCTCCTCCTCCTCCTCCTCCTCTTCTTCTTCTCCTTCTCCTTCTCCTTCTCCTTCTCCTTCTCCTCCTCCTCCTCCTCCTCCTCCTCCTCCTCCTCCTCCTCCTCCTCCTCCTCCTCCTCCTCCTCTGTCTTTTTAAAATCAGTTCCAGAGAGTTCAAATAAAAAACTGAGGTGGGGAGAAAGAGAAAGAAGTTAGAATATCTCTGTCTGCCTTGAGTTACCTGCCTATCCAAAATGCCCAATTCTAAGCAAGCTTTCAAGACCCATTAAATTCAGTGAGATATCATCCCTTTATAGTAAGTAATCACTTACTAATAACCACTTACTATAAAGACATGGCAAGCTCCAGATTCTGGTGTATAAAAAGTGTCTCCTTCACTTGTTGATTTGTCCTCATTTAACAGAATCACAGAAGGGACATTGGACGTCTTCTAGTCCAACCTCCTGTTCAAACATGATTTATGTGACGTTAAACCATGATTCACTTCCCTTCACCCTTCAGTCATGGTTTGTGGAATATTTGTTGAATACATTTTATAGATTTGCTAGCACAGAGCCGGGAATGAAACAACCCACAAAATAGTTCAGTGCAACATATGAACCTGCTTTCTACATTGGAAATATGGGGACAGGGGTACGAAAGAGGTGGATGCACCTTCTTGGCCTTTTACCTGGTTTTCCCTCCTTGTAGAATTCTCAGTATGACTTGAAGGACAGCTCACCGGCTTTACACGCAGGCATTGCTCAACCCACAGCAGCAGCCTATTATTCTTACGACCATTCTTTTGGGCAGTATGACAGGTAAGAGGTTCTGCACTGAGATCTGGCATGGTAACACTTTTCCTGTCCCACTTGACAGATCTATGGGTTGGGTCCTTGGTGCTCTCTGAGCTTGGGTTGCTTTCTTGCAGGCGTTTTACTACCCAACTAGGTAACATCATCAGGGCTAGAAGGGAGGGAGGTTTGAAGAGGGAGGAAAGAGGGAGGAGGAGGGAGGAGGAGGAGGAGGAGGAGGAGGAGGAAGAGGAAGAGGAAGGAGGAAGAGGAAGAAGAAGAAGAAGAAGAAGAAGAAGAAGAAGAAGAAGAAGAAGAAGAAGAAGAAGAAGAAGAAGGAAGGAGGAGGAGGAAGAGGATGATGAGAAGAAGATTAGGTGGTCCTTGATGTTCTCTGAACTTGGTTGTTTTCTTGTAGATGTTTCATTCCTGTGGAATTGGGATCGTAGAAACACCCAGGAGCATAGAAGAGTTCAGAGGCAGATGCATGAATAAATGTCTTAAATGTATTTATTCATATAATAAAGCATATGAACTATGTACACAACTATGTACAAACTATGTACCCTGATCAGAGATCAAATTTCGTGAGGAACAAATGCAAGAAGAGTGAGAGAGAGAGAGAGCAAGGTGGAAAAAGTTGGAGGGGTTTTATACTCAGGGTAAGCCCCTCCTTTCCACATAGGGGTGGAGACACTCTCTGCCTCCACTGGTGTCTATATGACACATGTGCCAATGGCTTGCAAATACTTGACAATTCCCCAACTAGGTAACATCATCAGGGCTAGAAGGAAGTGAGGTTTGAAGAGAAGGAGGAGGGGGGGGGTCCTTGAAACCCACCACCATTAGTGGTAGAGTTTGCTCTCTGTTTTACGTAGTAGCTTGACCTGTCAATGTTGATGAGAGTGTTCTTGATGGTCTCTTTGATTAGGCTGTTAGGCAACTAAAACATAAACAGTGACCAAAACCCCTCCTTGTAAGAGTTGTGTTTCTTGGGACAACTTCCTTGTTTCTATGGAAAGCTTTTGTGGACTTTGGCCTTGGAAATAAGTCATCTCAGCTCATTTTCATCTGCCTGTTAGGTATGGAACAGTGGACTTCAGCAACTCATCCAGACGCAAGAATGCTACCCGAGAAACCACCCAGTACCCTCAAGGCGTGGTTATATGAACACCGAAAAAATCCTTACCCACCCAAGGGCGAGAAGATCATGCTGGCCATCATCACCAAAATGACCCTCACCCAGGTCTCCACTTGGTTCGCTAATGCCCGCCGGCGACTCAAGAGGAGAACAAGATGACCTGGTCTCCTAAAAAATAAAACAGGAGATGACCCGAGGGAGGGAAGTAAAAGGAACGGGGAAGACTGTAGCAGTGATAATGAAGACAAAGGTAAGAATGGAAAGTTGGTATCATTTTTTTTTCTCCCCAGAATGGAGATAAATTGTTATCATGTGAAACCAATATTGAATGATTGCTTCTATTAACTGGTTTTATTGCTGGGTTGCTTCTGACTAACAAGTTATTTTAGTCAGCTCCATAGATTTTTCAATTGGGTGAAGGTCTGGGCTATTCCCAGGCCATTCCAGCAGTGGAATAGGATTATCTTGAAACTCCAAAAAAAAAAAAAAAAAGTGGTGTTATTAGCCATCAAACCTCAAAAATACACTTTTCTCAAAAGGTTTTCACAATTTTGGCCAATACTGTACCTGAGCTACATTAGCACTTAAGATAAATATGTCAACTCCATTTAGATTATTTTGCGGTAGTTTCCCAAGAAGCCAAATTACTGACGTCTCTACATAAAACCAACTTGACTTGCTCTTAATGAACTCCTTAAGGTGACTGTTTTCTTTCTTTATTCCTTTTGATTTCGAATCATAGACCCCAAAGCTGCAAAGAAGAAAAGGAGCTGCAGCTGAGCGACTTGGAGGACTTGGATGAGGAAGAACCAGACATGAAGGTTGAAGATGAGCTGAAGCACCTTCATCAGGACGGCCTCCTAATTGGCAGAGCATTGACTGAGTCTCTGAAGAACAGCTGTACTGGAAGCTCAGCTGGTCCTTTTCATGCTTTTTCATGTGCCAAGCAACATTCACCGATTACAGGGGACTTTCTTGGCCACAAGGAGAATAACATAGCAGTGAGTCTTGCCACTCAAGGCCAACTCTACGAAACTCCAGAAAAGCCACGCATCTGGTCCCTAGCTCATACAGCAGGAGCCAACATGGTTGTGGGGACCACCAGCCATCCTGCTCAAAGGACAGAGAGCCCCGATTGTTTGGTGCTCAAGGGAAGGTGCTCAGGGACTGATGGACATTGCAGCGAAACAAGCCACTGGGCAACCTTGTGAGAACACAACCCATTCATGACAAGGCCTTGGAAGAGCTGCCACCTCCAGCTAAGATCTTCAAGAGTCCAACCTTCAACCTACAGTCCATTGCACTAAACTATGCTTCATACCCTGTGCTAGGGGAGACATGTCAGTACGCAACAGGAACAGAAGGTTGGCCTTTTCATCTTGTTTTTATTTTCAGACTGTCTTTAGTTTGATAAAAGAAAGTTCATGTGAGGCCTGGAACTCCAATACAGATGTTTAAACTCAAGAGAGACCACTGAGCACTAACCGTATTTCTCGGAGTATAAGTCGCACTTCCCCCACTCTAAAATTGGGTGAAAATGTGGGTGCGCCTTCACACCAAATGTAGCCCCGCTCACCTGCTGGCCCCCACCGTTTGGCCTCTCCTTGCAGCAAACAGCAAACAGCCCATTTCAGCTTCAGCACAGCCTGATTAGCACAAGCAGCTGATTGTTGGTTGGATTGGCTTCCCAACCCTCAGCTGTTTCAGGCTGCATTGCCTATTGCTGCATGGGCCTCTGCTGTTTGCTGCAAGGAGGCAAATTGCTGAGCAGTAGATTTTTTTTTTCTTGTGCTAATCAGGCTGTGCTGAAAATGAAACTAAAGCAGACTGTTTGCTGTTTGCTGCAAGGAGATAAATTGCTGGGAGGCAGAGGCAGATTGTTTTTTCTTGTTTTCCTCCCCCAAAAAGGTAGGTGCGTCTTGTAGTCCGGAGCATCTTATACTCTGAAAAATATGGTAGCTGTTTTCTGAAGTAGTTGTGGCTCTAGCATTCTCTTCTCAATTTTGGCAACATGAAGGAAATAGGCCATCCTGCTTATTTGGAAAGTGAGGCTAAAGAATTTAAGCTTTGTGGGTCAACTTTGGAAATGCAGAGAGGAATCTCATGGGTAGGAAGAAACCTCCAGTTTAGGGTCTAATCTGGAAATGTGTTATCTTGACCTACAACTCCAGTGAAATTGGCTAATGCACATGAGAAATGTGATGGCTTTCACAAACTCAAATCTGACTTTTGTTGACTAATGTAAAAAGAACAAGCTTCAGCTTATAATTAGCAAATCGATTACTTCACACCTTAAATTGGGCAAGCAACTGATTTGCTTTTTTGTTTTTAAAAGAACAACTTGCTGTTGTTATAGTGATTGTTTATCTCTAAGGATTGAGTGGGAAATTGCAATTTGGTCTTTCTATGGTTCTTTAAGGGGGTCATCAGTCATCATTAAACCAGTTCACAATAATAATAAACAGTAATATTATTATATCTTGCCCAGAAAAACAACAACAGATTCTGTAGCAAAAAATGCTATATACTTATTCAGAAATCTTTTTTATATTTATCTAAAAAGACAATGAAACAGAAAACAAATATTGAAGGCTTTAAAAGAAACCTTGGAGTAATACACTATATTGGAATTAATTCAAAATTGTACTGATATCTCTGTTGTTGTTATTCTTATTCTTCCATTGAGTTGTTCCTACCATGACATCATTTTTGCAGTATGTTAAAAAATGCACTGTTTATCTATTTTTTTCCACATTCCATCCTGAATCACCTTGCTTGGTTGGGAAGAAATGATCTCAGAACAGCAAGTCACGCTGGTATATGGTAGTGGATCTTCCTTGAGAGTCGTGGCCAATGACCTGGCCTCTGTTTCTAGAATGATGGAATGATCAAGTCAATATACAGATGCAATCTTCTCTAGAAAATTGTTTAGAGATGCAGTAGGCAGTAGGCAAATGTCTATGGAGATTCTCAGTCCTCCAGGTCATGGTTGTCCCAAAGGTGATTTTTTCAACTGGACTTTCTGGTTTTTCTTCGAAGACCTTTCTCTTCTCATCCAAGAAGCTTCTTCAGCTCTCAGTTGCCTCTTGAAAAAGCACCTTTGGGATATCCAAGAGCAAGTTCATAGAAATAATTATTTCTGTACGGTTTCATTATAGCTGGTTTTAATGGTAGAATGCAAGAAGGCAAATATTCACTCGGACAAACCGGGATGAGTTGGTTCCAAACTTCTCATGATTGGACCTTCATTGCTAGCAGAAAATTGTCTTATGGAGAAATGGATAAAAACTGACCAATCTTCTTTGTCTCCTCTCAAAGCTTCCCTGGGCTTGGAGTCATTTGAATATTGTAGGGGAGACTATAGAAAGAAACATGACCCATTGACGATGGCCTGTCCTTTTGTATTAATAAATATTTGTGTGAATTCAAAGTTCTTCTCTTCAAAGATGGGCTCTGTAAACCAAAGCAACTTTGCATGTCTGAGTGTAGCCTAGGATTTTTTGTGTGTGCGAGCCATTTCCATCCAAAGCTGAAAGAAGTTTCCGTTTCTCTGTTACGACAGGATTTCGGAGAAGCATACGGGCTGCTCAAACTTCTCTGGACCTGAGTGATGTTTGTCTCAGCCAACATAAAGAGAAACTCAGAACAGCTTTCAGGCCGGTGCTGAAGAGGTGAAAAAAGTGAGTCACGATACTGTTGTGTTGTGTGGAGAGATGACTTGTGAAGTACCAGAGATTGAACCGGTTCCCAACATCCTTGATCAGTGGCCGTGTTGCCAGAAACATTTGGAGTCTGAAAGGGGTCTTCATCCATGTTTGGAGCATCCAGCATCCCATATGCTGTGAAGCTGTTTTGTTATGAGTTGCTATTTTAATAAAGGGAATTGTCTTTGCAATTTGTTGCATTCTCTCTCTCTCTCTCTCTCTCTTTCTCTGTCTCTCTCTCTCTGTCTCTCTCTCTCTGTCTGTCTCTCTCTCTCTGTCTCTCTCTGTCTCTCTCTCTCTCTCTCTCTCTGTCTCTCTCTCTCTCTCTGTCTCTCTCTCTCTCTCTCTTGGCCAGGAAAAGCTATTTGTGGGCTCATTCTCATCCTAAAATTGAGGGTTTGGGGAAGATTTCATTGAATCGTGAAAAACAAGAAAGAGAAACCAAGTCAACTCAACCAAGAAAAGAGTTCAGGAATCAAAAGCAAAGAATGGGATTCAATCTGTTATTTCTGCTGTCTACCAGTAACATTGGTCCTGATAGTTCCTTTACTAAATGATCAAGATGGGGGATATTTGATCAGACTTTGGCTAATGAGACCCATTTTCTCTCTTTCAGGTTATGGAAAGCCACCCTGTTACTTGAACTTCTCAAGAAAGTATGGAAACATCAAGCTTCCAGGGAAGACACCCATTATCTCTAATGTGAATCCTCATTTTGTCTGTTTTCCTCTTTCTCGGAGCTCTTCGGACCATGAATGACTGTTACAGCTTCTCATGTCAGAAGGAAGGGAGGAGATAACCTTATGAAACACAACTTTAACCATCACAAGGCCAACCAGAAAACATTCATAGGGATCGGATTTTGCTATGTAATATGAGCATCTCTCCTGTGCTAAGTTTGTCACCAAACTATGTTAATTGAACTGTGACTCTCCGGTAAAATTCTGCCAATGTATTTTGGATTTCGGAGAGACCTTGACTTCTGTTGTAGATCTGTGTTGTTCTCTGTATAATGGAAACTAACAATGTGGTTATTGAACCAACCTTTCTTTCTTTCTTTTTTTCCTTTTTCATATCCCAAATATCTACAGGATGTGTGGGGGTTAACATCCTTTCAACAGATCTTTTAATACTTATTTTTCCCCATTTTTAACTTTAAGTGTGTTTGTGTGTCATGTTTCTGCAAAGGAGTCCTTTCCTAGTTCAACCTGCACATTTGTTTATTATTGCCTTGTACAAAGATATCACAGAAAGTATTTTTAAAACTCTCGAATTAAAATTCCAACAACTGAATGCTGTTGAAGAAAAATATGAAATTTAAGAGACAGGAAGAATGTGTGTGTGTGTGAGAGAGAGGGGGGGTGGGGTGGGGAGGGAGGGAGGGAGAAAAACAGCAGTCACTGAGATTCATTACTATCAATACTGATTGAATTCTCTCCGTTTTGTTTCTTATATAATACTTTAAAAATCCAGTTTTGGACAATTTCTTTATTGATATGTTTTTCCCACTATCTGTCGACATGGTTCTATATTTATTGTACAGTCACAATTATTGAACAGGGACGCGGTGGCTCAGTAGCTAAGATGCTGAGTTTGTTGATCGAAAGGTCGGCAGTTCAGTGGTTCGAATCCCTAGTGCCGCGTAACGGGGTGAGCTCCCGTGACTTGTCCCAGCTTCTGCCAACCTAGCAGTTCAAAAGCACGTAAAAAATGCAAGTAGAAAAATAGGGACCACCTTTGGTGGGAAGGTAACAGCGTTCCATGCGCCTTTGGCATTGAGTCATGCTGGCCACATGACCACGGAGACGTCTTCGGACAGCGCTGTCTCTTTGGCTTTGAAACGGAGATGAGCATCACCCCCTAGAGTCAGGAACAACTAGCACATATGTGCGAAGGGAACCTTTACTTTACTACAGTTATTGTGTCAGGTAAATTCACCTTGGGGACAGGTATATACTGAACCTGCATCAGGATACAGGGTTTATCATTGTGACTGGGTTCACACATTACACTAAGCTAAGTCCCCCTGGGTCTGTCTGTCTCTCTGGCTGTCCCACTCTCCATCCATCTATCTATCTGCCTTTCTACCTGTCCATCCATCTGTCCATTCTTCTTTTTTCCTCCCTAGGCATGATAGAGGCTTCCAGAATTTATCCAAGGAGTGGAGTAACTCATGGTGAGACCTGTGTTAGCCACTCATCACGGATCTGGATTCCACTTACAGTAATGGTCAAAATTGTGGAAACCTTTTAGGAAAAGTGTATTTTTGAGGTTTGATGCCTAGTAACATCACTTTTTTTGAAGTTTCAAGATAATCCTATTCCACTGCTGGAATGGCCTGGGAATAGCCCAGTCCTTAACCCAATTGAAAATCTATGGAGCCGACTAAAGAAACTTGTTAGTCAGAAGTGACCCAGCAATAAAACCCAGTTAATAGAAGCAATCATTCAAACTTGGTTTCACATTCAAACAGCTGCAGAACTAAAAGACTTGGTTCACTCCATGGGAAGATGTTGTAAGGCCGTAATTCATGCTAAAGGTTACCCAACTATTAACTGACACGGTGATAATTTTTGTATATCTCGTTTTTTCTACGTGTTTCACTTTTCTTCTTTATACTTCTTTATAAGTAATGCTATTCTAATAGGAAATCCTTCATAAAAGTTATTGATTACATTCTTGATTAAATTATCTTTCCATTGATATATAGTTTTATGGTACTACTCCCCCCCCAAAAAAAGTGGTGTTATTAGCTAGTTTTAAAAAATCCACTTTTCCCAAAAGGTTTCCACAATTTTGGCCACTACTGTCATTGATTTCTATAGTTTGGTACCCTTTTCTTTTAAGTTTTACATCCCTCTAAACCTTACAGTGCTGAGGCCAGAGTTAAAAGAGGGCATATGAGCCTGGCTCAGATACCATGGACAGCTCCAAAGTCATCAACCTGCTCCAATAAAGGTCTAGAGAGGGTCTAAAGACAAACGTTGGTGAGCAAAGAAGCTCTCAAGTAGATTGGGAATAGTGGCATGGTTATCTCATGACCTCATCCTTTCTGGACTGGATCTCTTTAGTCAACCACTCTCAGTGCATTCTTTATGGATAAGTCACCCTAATTGGCATGAAAGTTTGTCCTGTGAATATCTGCCTGGCTTGTTAACAGGGCAACAACATTTCCTTTAAGGCGAGGAAGGGATAAAGTAGGACATTCTTAGTAGGTCATCATCCCAAGTTTAGTTAAAAGAGCATTATTGCCTTTGACCAAGTTGGGACAGAAAAGAGTCCATCATTCGGCATTCTTTCTCCTTAATTAAAAGTGTCACCCAGCACTCTCTGGGCGGACAAATAAACAGAGCTGAAGCTCAGAAAAGAATGAAGCCTTTGTTCCTTGACTCATTGCAAGCAAGGCCCATAATTTAATCACTGTGCTAATTAAGAGGTCATCTGCAGATCAACCCACGACTAGCTTTTCCCCAAGTTCACCGAGGTCAACATTTTACCGTGTGTCATTTGTGATCAATATCATCCAATGGATCCTGCTTTCGTAAATCAGCAGGATGGATCTTGGGTTATTGAGACAAGACTGATACATGGATTCAGGAAAGGAGCAGGAGAGGAAAGAGTGAAGCGTGGAAGAAATACCAGGATTGGAGAGGGGTTAAAAGTCTACATCTTCAGGCCAGCGGCGGCATCCAAATATTGAAAGAAGATTCTTATGTGTGTGTAACTGATGCTCATTTGATTTCCACATCCAGGATAAATTATAGCCCTGAGGATGAACCTTTCCCACGAGACACATTTTGTATGGAGAGAGATTAAAGGGCTGATCAGACACGGCTGCATTATTTGAAATGGGAATTAGCATGATGGGTGGGCATAGTCCTAACCTTTGTACCAGAGTCCTCACTGTCTTTGGAGATTCTCAGTCCTCCAGATCATGGTTGTTCCAAAGGTGCTTTTTCAAAAGACAGGTGGGCTTTCTTTGTTTTTCCTTGAAGACGTTGTCAGGCCTGGAAGCCATCTTTTTTGTTAGATCTTTAGGCCTGCCACATTTACTACTGTAGGAAACTGGGAAGTGGGGTTGTATGGAGCCAGGGTGATATATAGTCATATTAACATTCTTTTCTCAGAGAGTCAAGGACATCTTGCCCTGCACCTGGAAAGCTGGAATTGGGAGGCATCTCCAGTTGGGACGGTCCTTTGATTGGATCATTTGATGGACATGTGGGTGTTGGGCAGGGACTTGAACTTTCCTTTGGGTGAGGAAAACCTGGAAGCTCTCAGATTCAGGTTTTCCCAGATGTGCCAATATGACATCCCTAATAAAATGGAACTTTGAGGAAACTCAAGCCTTGGCGTTTTCTTTCATTGGGGGTGTTACTTGAAACCCTGAGAGACATTTTGCTTCTCATCCAAGAAGCTTCTTCAGTTCTCTCTACTTCTTCAGAGACGTGAAGAAGCTTCTTGGATGAGAAGCGAAATGTCTTCAAGAAAAAAGCTAAGGAAGTCCAGTTGCCTTTTGAAAAAGCACCTTTGGGACAGAATCCTCAATCGAATTCGCCAAAAGGGAGCTACACGTAATTCAGCAAAAATTAAAAGTGATGCACCTGAAGGTGAGTTAATCCATACAGCCAACCTCCAGAACACGTTCAAGAGTTTCCTTTGCCTTTTGTAGTATTCCTTGAATACATTGTCAAGTTACCTGGATATGATCTATTCATCCTTTCTGTGATGCATCTCCTTTCTGACATCCCTTTTTTTTGGGGGGGGGGGGAAGAGATCAGGAGATCAAGGGAGAAACAGCCCAAGCTGAGCACTGACCTGCAGTTTGCAGGCAGAGAAATTAAGCCATAGAAAGATAAACATTATTCCAAGTCAGATTTAAAGGATTAGTGCTTGTATTAAAGAGTATTAGCCCCGTTCAGAGGCTTTTGGAAGGCAGGCCCCTTGATTTTTCCTCCCATTCTTTCTCAAGAGGTACATTTACACCAGGTATATCTTGTATATTCAACCAAATGGACCGATCATATCTTTTGTGTCCTGAAATCTAGAAACAAATATCAGTGATATACCATCATCTAATACAATGTAAAACACATTGCTGGTTTTGGCCAATTTTGTCCTAAGGATAAAGAGACTGCACACAGGCAGGCTACCTTGGAGAAAAGTGGACTATGGCTTCAATCTTCTGAAGTTTGATGTTTAGAAAAGGAAACTGAAAGATTTTCTCAAGATGGACCTCAGTTGTGGAAGCAACGATAAATAGCAATAGCACTTAGCATTCTAAAAGGCAGAGGCATCACCCTGCCAACAAAAGTGCGTATAGTCAAGGCTATAGTTTTCCCAGTTGCAATGGATGGTTGTGAAAGTTGGACCATCAGGAAGTCTGAGAGCCAAAGAATTGAGGCCTTTGAACTCTGGTGCTGGAGAAGACTCCTGTGAGTCCCTTGAACTGCAAGGCAATCAAACCGGTCAGTCCTAGAGGAGATCAACCCTGACTGCTCCTTAGAAGAGGAAACTCAAATACTTTGGCCACCTAATGAGAAGGAAGGACTCCCTGGAGAAGAGCCTTATGCTGGGAATGATTGAGGGCAAAAGAAGAAGGGAACGGCAGAGAACGAATGGCTAGATGGAGTCACTGAAGCAGTTGGCGTGAGCTTAAATAGACTCCAGAGAATGGTAGAGGACAGGAAGGCCTGGAGGAACGTTGTCCATGGGGTCGCGATGGATCGGACACAACTTCGTAACTAACAATAACAACTTACACATGAACATGGGAAGCCTACCTACACTTAACTCCCAGGCCACCCAAATCTTTAGCCAACATGCCAACCATTTCCAGTCTTTGTTCTTGGTAGAATTCCCAACTCTGCTGATGTTCCTTGCGAAGTTCAAGAAGCATTGATTATAGGTCACCCTTAATATTACAACCAGTGAGGTCTGGTGAATCAACAACTGAATTAGAGTGACCGATCAGGGGTCTTTTAAGATGTGCTTTTATTCCCTTCCCTCCTTTTCTCTTATTATTAAAGGTCAAACAGGCCTTGCTGCAGATTATCCAGCTATCTCCAATTTCCCTGCAATCTGTCATCCCAGCAAGATATGTATCGCAAATCTCTCAAAATATAATCTTTTGGAATCATATTCTGAATACTGTTTTGATTAAAAAAAAAAATCAGAGCTAGGACTGATGTGGAACTAATATGAAAAAGACTAGATGCGCGGTGAGCAGACGCCTTCCGTATTTAATAATCAAAATAAACTAATAGGTTCAGCCAGCTTGTTCTTGTAAAAAA